AAAGATCGTTAACGCATTATTCTTATTGTAAAATCGCATTACGCGATATTACAATATCGTATGGTACAGGAAGATGTCCTCAGTTGCAAAATATTCAGCAAAGAAAGCATCAATATTATTATTATTATTATTATTATTATTATTATTATTATTATTATTATTATTATTATTATTATTATTATTATTATTATTATTATTATTATTATTATTATTATTATTATTATTATTATTATTATTATTATTATTATTATTATTATTATTATTATTATTTATTATTATTATTATTGTTGTTATTATTATTAATTATTAATTATTATTATTATTATTATTTAATAATAGGTGAAGAAAAAGCATCAATGCATCATTAAAAAAACGGAACCCTTTGAAAATCTTGATAAATTAGTAACAACGAATTAAAATGTTCCACTGAAATTACTTCGTGAAAATTAATTTATTCATAACTAAATAGATAACCTTACTACTGCAACCCTTTCCATAGCAGCTATCAATTCACCACTTAAACTTCCACAAGATATAACTGTTTTCCAAAATGCATTCGATTTCGATGCCAACTGATTGTTTAATCTCGCATCAACCAAATCGTGATAAAATTCAAGGCATTGTTGTAGCGTGTCATATGGCCTAAAATAACGGCCATTTGCTGCCTCGTATGATTCATGCATCTGAAAACTGGTTAGATTTAGATCAGCAGAAAAATGATAATCAAGGATAAAGACAGAATATACTCTTAAAAACTATTTGATATATGAAAACAGCACAAATTCTATCATAATGATGAAAAATTATATTGGGAAAGTAAAAAGGGAAACTAAAGAACTTGTGCTAGACAATTATACTAGCAGAAAATTGAGGTAGAATAATATCGTCTAATTTGAGCAAAATGTTGTTTCAAATATTTATTAAAAAATAGTTTCAAGCACCTGTAATGATTTCGAATCTTCCGAGATACTTGGCGTAGGTGATGTACCACTATCGCAAGGCTGTCGTCCCAGAAATGTTGTATACGATTTACCATCGACTTGTAAACGATCGACTTCTCCGGAAATAGGCTCCAGGAAAATTGCTTCAAAGGTGGACAAATCAGCCAATGAAAAATTTGGATCCAGAAGAATCTTCAACATCATTGATAAAGTAGATATTTATGGTAATATTTTATTTATAATAAAACTCTCCAATATGACATTTCACATTCTGGAAAGCAAACAGGTATGTAGTGCTCACAGTATGTTCAATTTCATACGTGCCAAAATCATTTACTAGCAAGCAGTAAAATATAGGTCTAAAAACATATTCGATTCTAAAATTTTTGCAAATTAAAAATACGAAAATACAAAAAATGCAGAAACAGCAGAAGCACAAACCACTGGCACATCATCAACATCGACACGTCTATCCTCTTCATGTCGTGCTAATGCACGTCGAAGTTCATATTTCGCTCTTAAACATTGACGGTGTTTCTAAAAAAAAGAACTGACGTGAAGTACAATTAAAATACGGTAATCCCAGAAAAATACTTGCAAAATAATAACAATATTAACTACTACTAAAACAATAACAACCATTCAATAACAACAACAAACCTTAGCAGTGGTTTTAAGATATTTCTTGAAATGATCTAGTGTTATAGCCGGTAAGGACACTACCGGTGATATTCGATTTTTAGGCACAAATGAATCACCCCAATGCCTAGTGAAAAAGGCATGTATTTCTGTTCGGGAACATTTTGGATCCAATAGTACTGATGACAGATTTTGAGTGAAACTAAAACAAGCAAGATAATGTTACTTCTTCATTCCTTGAATTCTTTTTTAAATTTAATAATTGTTTTCGACAGGTGATAAGAAATTATGTAAGAATCTTACAAAGCACAACACAAAGTACTGGAGATGTCAGTCCATTTGTTAACATATTGAATTATTAACTGTGTACTGATGTTTTGAAAGACTAAATACTTATACAACCATCTCATGTTTACTATTCGTCTTCATTTGATAATTTCAATGCAATTTATTGGTTTCTTTATTCATTAATTTAAAAACATGAGAATGTTTTTCTGCATTAAAAATTATTATCAATAAAATTCACTGTTTACACAGTTCAGCTGATCAACCCAAGAGATTTTGGAAAATTTTAAGGAAAAGGTTACAAGAAACTATAGTTGATATCTTCACAACTACAGTTGATAAGATACCTCCGTTACTACTCCATAATTACAGTTGATTAAGATATCTCTAGTTGATATCTCTATAAAAAATTCTCTTTACACCCTCATTTTGCGAGTTTTTCTTTTTCAGTTTGAAATTAATTGAAAAAAATAAATTCTGTATTCGAGGAGAAAGTATTCCTTCCTGATTATTATAGTTAGGAATGTTAAAATTCCATGTGGTTTATTTTCAATGATAAATTAACTTCCCGACATTCAATTATAAAAGTTTCCAATAATAAACAAGAAAAAAAGAAAAAACAACTTATAAGCAGACAGAAAAGTAATTCCTCAAATTATTTACTTCTAGTATGAGGATAATATAAATTCAGTTACCAGTTAAAAATATACAAAAACAACCTCCTGTTCCGGAAAACAGAATAAAAATGGTGACCTATATAAAAGAACGATTTGAAAATCCAGACAGATGTTTTGATTTTTTTTGTTTTTTTCGTTTTTTTTAACATGTTTTTTGATTAAAATTTTCTTTAGAAAATAATTTTCTCCTCCCATTGCCACCATCTCTTCGTCCATCAGACATGCAGTTTCAAATTTTGTATACCGAAAGTTAGAAAAATGGAACCATTTTGGGATGGTAGAGGTAGGCTAGCAGGCAGATATGTTAGTTAGGAGATGGGGGATATCGATAAATTATAACTTATAGTAAATTGTTCTATTTCATTTTTGCTTCTAAGATTTTAGCGGCAGAATTATTACGACATGCAAGTCATTATAGAGAAATTTGAAAAATCGTTAGTGATGAAGCAAGAACTGTTTACTTTTGTGATTTTTTCAGCAGATAGCAATTTTTTTCCGTAACTCATTAAGTCTCATTACAATTCAATTAACGTCCAATTTATTAAAAGAAAAAACTAAGCATAAAATAAAACCAAAAAATGCGAAAAGTAAACAAATATCTTTCATTTCTAGTATCACTTCCCACTACATCATACAAATAATCTATGCAATTTTTGCTTTTCATTTGAAGAAATTCATGTGTTATTGTTCGTCCAGTAAAAGACAAAAAAAAAAATCACTCGCCAACGAAAAGATGAAAAGCTATTCTAATTTTTTTGAAATTTCATTTCGTGATACACTTTCAAATTTTCCAAGAAAATATTTTATATTTTATATTACGGTAATAAATACCACTTCTCATAGCTCCATCATCAGCATTTTGTCAGCGAAGATGAAGAAGAGATATTTGCTCTAATTTTCAGGTCTTTCTGACATTCTTATTATAAACTTAGATGAAATCCGTTATTGAACAGTTAGAGAATCGATCCATAATCCAGAATATTTTCTAAAAAAATCAAACTTTTAAACTGATCCATCCTCTATATCACTCTCGCAAAGTATTGTATCATTTAATTCCATTACATTGAGATTGAAAAATGAACTTTGTTTTTTCCCTCAGCAGTTATTGTCACTGTTTTATATTATCATATCTAATCAAAAAAAAAATACGTAAATTTAATTCCATCTTCCTCTTTCATGATCTGTTATTGCCGTAATTTTCAAGTTATGCATATTTATGCTCAAAAGTCTCGCAAAAATCATCGTTAGTTTTCAACTAAAATTAGTTTTTACGAAAAAAAAAATGATGTCTCACTATGTCATACAAATCCATTTTGCCATATTTTTCTCTTCATCAATGCCATAATTCCAGTGCATTTGTCGTCCCGAAAGAACAGATATAAATAAATTAATTACTCTTACAGGAAAGGAACACTGAGAAAATTACTCCACTGTCTCAAAACATGTTTCAAGTTCAAGAAAAAGTATTAATTCTAGTTTTTGGATTTTAATTCTAATCTGCAGCTATCATTCTCCAGATCTGTACAATATAAATACAATTAGTGATGATTTTTTTTATTTCCTTTATTCCTTTCCATTTCTTTCTCCCTCTCTCTCTCTCTTCCTTATCATTTTTAAATGGTCAAGTAGTATTTCATTAATTCTCAGAATTTAAAGCGGAATCTAATTGGTAACATACCAGAATCACTGATACAAAATATTTGATGAATTAGGAGAGCAAGTGCGAATGGATTTAATTTTAATTTATAATAACTGCTTATTTTTCAAGCAGCGCTTATATATGAAATGGGTGCTAATCAAGTTAGGAATTAAAAAATCGGAAAAAAGAATCTGGGACTAATTCAAAATTCATATAAAATCCGAAAACTAAAATAAAAATTTAAGAGAGAGAGAGAAAACAAAACCTCTAAAAACTTTTAAACCTTAAAATTAAATCAAGTAAGAAAAGAGAGAGGAAGAAAAAAAAACCTTTAAATTCTAAGTGCCATCTCCTTGATTCAAATCTTCCATTATTTTCAGGATAATGCCAACAGCGATCATATTAAAATGGAAATAAACAACAGTCAACATACCTATGATACTACCATCAATTCCGAATATGAAATGATGAATTTCAAATCTCCAGCAACCCATTTTCTACAAAATGTACAAAATTCAAGTCTTAGACTATCAACACAGCTGAGCAAAAAATATTCTTCTTCGGCTACATTAATAACAGATACTCCTGCTATTTGTTCTTTAGATAAACAAAATTCAGATCTGAACATCCATATCCCACAACTTACCGCCTGTTATCAACATAACCGTTCGCCATCGAAGGAATTAAAAACCGTACAAACTCAGACATCTCAAATATATGAAATAACAATGGCTATTCAGCTTAATCCATGCAAACAACGTGGGAATCTATGGAAAAAAATTAGTTTTGATTTTAACTCGTTGAATTTCAAGAAACCGAGAATTTCTGTTCGAAGTCGACTTTTGCTTGATGAAGAAGAGGATTACGACGTGGAAGAAAATCGACACTTGAGTGATATCGAACTTCTCCGACAATTATATGATGAATTACGATATAAGATAAGCCAAGTGTAAGTTGTTTGAGGCAGATCTATACCAAAACGTTCCACTTATTCGTATTCGTAGAATAACAAATTAACAGAACATGCTACTAAATCAAATCAAAATAGTAAATATCAAATAGTAAAATATCAAAATAGTAAAATATGAAATAAATGCATTGAGTTAATCTATTTATAGAAATGAAATCCAAACGTGTTGTATGAAATTCCTTTAGGATAGATAGGATGTATAAAAAATTTATATCCAATCAATAAATTCATTTGTAAACATCATGTATTTGTAAAATTTCAACAGTTTTCCTATGACTGTTCGGTTTTTGTGATAATTTATTATTGCAATTAGAGATCTTCTTGCCAGTTCACAGGATCAAAAGATTGAAAAAGTGCAGACAAATGAAGGGATTAGTTGGAAAGAATGCTTTTTGGGTGAACGAATGCGAAGATGGGGCCTTTGGTTTATTATTACCTTCCTAGCTGCGATGACTATTCGAGACATTACTTTACTGGTATCACTTCAACTATATTTACAAGAAATCGAAAAAATCAAACAATATCCTGCTTTCATAGGAATTCCCCAAACAAAACATCTCCCCGAAAATACTTGGATTTCCTATGATACAATAATATCATCTTTATTCAAACTATCCCATTAACAGAAATCTCCTGATCATGTTCACAGTATTCTGGTATGAAGGATTATATGTAGGCCGTAAAGTGTGTGTAAAGCTATATAGACTGTAGTTTATAAGAAACAGAAAAACTTAAGTAATTAATTACATGAAATATTAAAAAAGAATGAGAAAAGTTATATGAAATTTAAATATTTCAAGGTAATAGAATATATGGAATATCCGAAACAATCAGATATGAATGTAATGTTCAACGAATCAATGAACATGCCAAATATTACATTTTGCATGTCAAGGCAACAGGCTTGGAGTCATCTTCCTTTCAATAGTTCCGCATTAGGTGATGAGTGGGATAGAAGAATAAAGATAAGTTGAAAGGAGAAATATTGCTTTTAGAAAGGAATTAAATAAGTGAGAATAAAGTAAACGAATAATTCTCAAAAAAAAGAAAAAACAAAAACAAAATGTCATCCTAAATATTTATTTTTTAAAAAATTCTTTCAAAATTTCAACAGAATTTTTGAAAATTTAAAAGTAACTTGTGGCTAAGTCGACTTGCCATCTCACTTTGATGATGTTGGTTTTAGTTAAGAAAAATAGTTTTCAACTACATAAACTACTTATAATTATGGTTCAGGCAGAACTCGAAAAACTGAATTGCCGAGAGAGATTTCTGAATGAAACTTGGGACTATCGGCTAGTTGTTGAAGCATATGAGGTAATCGCAACGTTGAATAGTATGGAACGAGAAACAACAGCACAAGGATCCGCTCGATCCATTAACTTTTTTCGTACTCAACCAAGACTTCAGGCTAAAAGGGCGATAGTTAAGGTTAATGAAAAGTGATATCTTCAGTTAGCCGTAACTAATTTAATTATTTGCGCTGTTATAGCACTAAAGGTAAAGATAATCATTTAGTTTGGTGTAGTGTAAAGTTAATTTTAAAGTTCAACAATATAAACTGATACTTCAGGAAGACGAAACAGATACTTAAAAATGTCAAAAAAGTTTAATATCGAAGAACCATCCTTATAGAAAGAACAAATTAGCTGAAGGCTTAGAAATTCAAGCTAATCCTGCCTGATTACAAAGTGACGTATTATGTAGACAAAGTGATCGTAGCCAAAAAAAGAAAGAAGTGTCAAAAAGACTGAAAATACAACACTACTTATAGTCCTGGTTAAATGAAATTAACCATCGTGGTGTAACATTCGAAGAACTGACTCAAAAAAGTTGGCTTAGAAATTATTAAATACTCATTACGACGATTTCAACGGACAACATTTAATGAAAGCCAAGAAATTACGACAAGATTTCGAACATCCTGGATTTCAACGATGCAATTTTGTTTTCAACCATGGTTTGACACTGATAATTATTTCGAAATAAAAGATCAGGTTTTTAATTCATCCTTATCCTTTCATTTCTTCCAGCAAATACAAAGATAATGTACTAATGATAACGGAAATACAACAAGCAAGGTAGATAAGGGATGTTATTAATTCTAGATAAGAGATTCAATCATCTTTTCTCCAGATATTTATCAAATTGTGAAAATAAAATTCAATTTCACGACAATAAAAATAGAAAAATAAGGACTGAGTAAAATTCGTGCTGTAAAACATCGCTGTAATAAAGATTAAGTCAGACTTAGCAAGATTACGATACTTTTTTATCGTAGTTATAACGATAACAGTTATGATTAGTATCTCCAGTGATGCTAAAGAATAATGTAAGTAATAAATATGAAAGGATCAAATGTATCAAATATGGCCGAAGAAACCATGATTTACCACATAATTATGAGAAAAACCTTTAACTTTCAAATTTTGAAATGAATTTTAGACAAAAATATGACTCAAACCAAATTATCTTTTCATCATTTTATCTATTCTTAGGGAAATTTCTTCACGATAATACTGTCACATAATACTGGTAACCTGGAAGATGTTAATATTCCCTGTATGTCTGTTGATTTTCATGGAAGACCCAGTTCATTGTCACGATTCATGGAAGGACAAGGTCGTGCACGAGATGGATTTAACGATGATGTATATTTTAAATTTCTTATAGATCTGAGAGTTTGTTTTTCCCTTTACACCCTTTTGCTTACGAATTATTACCATATTTATTAATCCCCCTTCATATCTCGGACATATAAGCAAGAAAATATATTTATTCGTCTATAGAGGAATTTCTAAATTCTGTATTCAAACAAACAAAACTAATTTTAAGCTATGTCTTGGTATCCAGCATGAAGTGACAGTTGACGTACGTGCAAGATATGTGATGCTTGAAAATGATGACAATGGTACAGCATGTCGTAATGGTCTAAAAGAAGGAGAAAGCGAATTCGACTGTCGATCAAGATGTCGCATGGAAATGATCAGGGTAGAATTCAATTTACGAAATATGGTCAAATAATAGAAATGGTTAAGAAAAAACTTTCTCGAAACTAAAAACGAAGTTTCGTTGCCAGTAACTAACCTATCATTGATTGCATTCGATTTCAGTTAACAAAGTATATATTTCAATGGGATTTATAGTGACAAAATTTAACCTGTATTTTTCAGGATATGTGCAAATGTACGCCCCCTACTTTGAGTTACCTTGTAAAAAATGAGAAAGAATACACTGAATTTCCAATTTGTGATTATGAAAAATGCGAAGTCGAGTGAGTATTACCAAAAACACCAAGAAAAATCGTCCAAATTTAAGATTTGCAGGATTTGAAATCAATGTCAAGATTTAAATGCACCTGATAAAATCTTCGTCCTGATAATCCATTGAAACATAATCTTATTTTAGTGTCGTGAATTTCTTTTTGGTGTTAATTGCAAAATTCATTCTTTGACGCCAGTCTTTAAATAACACAAAATCCAACGAAGCTTTAGGAATATAATCAATCTTTGGAAGCTTTAAACAATGAGAAAATAGACAAAAAGAGTAGTTTAAAATGCAACAGGTTTTCAGCATTAAGAATATTACATATTCCGATCAGCAATGCATCCGGAAATGTTATCGTTCTTGTGACCAAATTACCTACGAAGTAAGTCACGTACAACACGGCAAAATGCTTCATCGTGGTAAGTTTTCACTTAGTAAAATTGTAAGGAAACAAAATGAAATTAAGAAAACGCATCGAAAGATTCGTAGTAACAATTGAAACAGATTCCGTTCAAATTAAAACAGATTCTTGATCCAAAAAGCAAAAATAAAATTAAGAGCGATAAAATTTAAAAATCACATCCAGTACTATAATTTTTTTTTCAGACCTAACGACAATCAATTTAAATTGGGGTTCGTTTGAATATCTTACCCTGAGTCAGTACTGGGTATGGTCAATGCCAGCATTTATAGCAGCACTTGGTGGATCCATGGGAGCATGGCTTGGACTTTCAATTCTTAGTCTAATAGAGGTAAATGCACAGAACATTTGGTGAATATTAAATTTAATTCGGAATTTCAGAATTCCATTCAATAATTTCCTTATGTCTCATTTAGGGTGGCACTTATCTATATACCTTTTTGACCACAACAATCAAAAAGAAGGTTCGCGATTGAAAAACTGGAGCTGAAGCGGTCTCCAACTCCCTCTACCGAAAAAATCATTACACGGTTACAGAAAAAAGAATCAGCAAGTTTAGAAGTGCCATTGCAGAAAAAAGTCCCAAAATATATGTGAACCAAATATTATCTGCTAATTAACTGCAACTTATTTCCACTCTTTATTTTCAATTCATTTAAGTACTTTGGAACGTCAGAATTTTTGTCGATAAGGTAGTACTGAAAGCTATTGCTTATACATGTCCTTTTACAGAAAAAGCTTATAGTAAATGCCGTCAAATTATTTACCCAGTGCCTATTTGAATTAATCATAGTTCCCCCTGATTTTAGGGACCCATAAATGCAAAGTCTCGAGCTAAACCCAAATCTCTCACAATATATCTTATTCCAGTTCAAGAGTACCCAATTACTGTCACTTTCGCATCAACAAATATTTAAGCTGGCTCGGAAATTTTGTAATACTCATTTTCTATTAAAAAATTTTTAAAATGTAAAAAAAATTTAAAATAGCATTTGGTGAAGGTACAGAAAGATTTTTTCCCTAGTGTTTCCATATTCAAGTTTCCAGCACATCATTATGTCCTTGAACAAGTGAAAAGAATCTAGCAACGATATGACTGGATCTATCTCAACTAAAATAGATGATAATGTTCTATTTTCCACCTATCTCACCTTTTATTTAGCAAATTTCCATATCTGTTCAGCAGTTTTTTTAATTGTTTGTTATTTCTAATGCACAATATTTGTGTGTGCTTTATAAGATCTGGGTTAATTATTAGTCATACAATAAAAGCATTCATTTCCTCACAACTGTTCCTTGCGTTTTCTAAAATCTTTTTATATAATTATATCATATCATAGCATACCTTTGAGTGGTGAACGTTGAATTCGAAGAAGAACGCTTTTTTTTCTCTTCCGCCTTATCCATAGTTGGCTGTTTATCAAATACTAAAAATTAAAAATAAATGAAAAGCATGCTGTTAATGTATTAAATTATGCAAGAGTCACATTTCTTTAAATATTTGCTCTCTCGATGAATTTTATTGTCAATTAAGACACCAGAAGAAGATTAATTATCCGGAACACACCATGCTGCCTGGCTGTCTTAAAACATGTAAATTAAAAAAACAAATTCAAGTGTATCATTCCTTGACCAGAGAATAGACTAGTGTTAAGGTTATTAGCATTAAGGCCTAAGTTAATTGCTAGTGTTAAGGCTTTAGTTAATTTGGAAGAAACAAACAATTCCCAAACAAGAACAATGAAATAGCTCACCAAAATTGGCATGACATTTCCGGATATGAGCTTCATAATCGCGATCAGAAACACCTTCCAAGGGTAATGTTTGACAAACGCTATTTGGTCCATAACTGAAAGCATATCATTTCCTTTACGATTCCACCGCAATGTCGAAATAGACAACACACCGAAAGAATATCGATCAGTTTAGTTAATATTAAATAGATGAAACATTAGATAGAATTATTCAAGAGCTCTAACTCTGAGCTTCTCTCGGGATGACCATATATTTTTGTATCCGGTATGCACAGTTACGATGATGTCAGTAAATCCACAGAACTAAATGATCAAATATTTATGCAAATCTTCACTATTTTTGGAAAAGACAAAAATGAAAACACGTACCGACATATAAACGATCCACCTTCTTTAGTACAATGCATAGTCCGCAGATGTTGAGCAAATTCAAAACGATTAGAAAGTTTTTTCACGTCTCGAGTGCATAAATCACAATAACGTGGATATTCAGCGTGACGTAGATAGTCGTCACCTTTATGGCAACCACCTGGTTGGGTGGCTGACATTGGAAGCATTTTGTGTGTCAATTCCTATTCGGTTTAATTCGTTCCGTTGTTTAATTCTCATTAAATCCCTGAAATAATGAAATTTGTCGGTTGATTGCATTAAATTTTAATGGATTATTATTCTTATTCAACATATACAAATATCATTACAAAAACTTTACAAAATCACAGTTAGTTCAACTTAAACCACAAATTTTAAAAACTTATTGCTAAATGAATACTTCAAGTGAAATATTATTTCCATTTATTTCTAGCGATTCCGATTTCTACTTTTACTATTCATACTGATTCTATTGGATATCGTTCCTGAGAGATCCATGTAAGATTTACTGATGCATGAAATCTAACTTAGCAATAAATATTACTTCTGAATTTTGAAACAGAACTGTTTAACGGATGTCAAAGGCTTACCAGAAGTATTTTAAAAAAACAATAGATCCTGGAAGATTGATAATAAAGAAAATAAGTAGATGTAAACTATTCAAGACGGACAACCAATAACGAAACAGTCGCAATAGAAATGAAAATGGTTGTAACTACAACGAGAATACGAGGTAATTAATTAGGAGCAATTAGTAGGAGAAGAAACTAACTGTTAAATTAATTAACTGACCCACAGTATAAACTATGGATAATTACGCTAGCCGATGATAAAGTTTCGTTTGAATGCTATGAAATAACCAAAGTTTACTACGCTGCTCAACTCTTGCATTAAATCCATTAGATACCAAATGATCTGGATCGGTTTAATAGCATACTACCGTCAAAAATGTTATCAGATCATCAAGAATAAACCTGAAGTCCTCATTTCCTAAACCAGGCTGCATAAGGAGAACCGTCTGAACCGGACCCAAACCAGTTCTATACCACAACTGTTCTATACCATATTTTCAGCTCAACCAAATTTAAACTGCTCTTTTGAATTTCTGGCAGTTCCTCGTTGACCTTTTGTAATCAATCTTCTACAAAATAAACCTTCACAAAACCTTAACAATAATAATTCCAGTTCAGACATTGAGACAAAAATTATCACAACACGATAATCAAAATTGCGATTTGAAGTGTATCGAAACTTGGTTCATGTAAGATTCTTGATTCGAATTAAGGTAAATGCGTTTTTGATCCGAACGATTACTACTTGGTAGTATTATCTTTACTTGAGACTTTTCTGATGGGGGTATATATACGTGGCATTTTATCTTTCTCGTACTTGTCGTGTTCTTCCCTTTATTAAATAATTTTATGTAGTTTGCTGTAAACTGTAAACTATATCCTATATTTTTAGAGTAAGCATATGCGATAATATGCACCGAACGAGCTTGTTTTATCATTTTCAGATATATCAAATGGATTTACTTATCATTTTAGATAT